AGAATTTTGCCTGTTGCAGATGACATCATTTCTGACATAACATTTGGAAACTACAAATGGGATGTTAACCTTATATACGCAATACGACCTTACATGAGACGTTCTGCCGAAGTGCTATGCACAATACATTACGGGTTTCGTGCAGGTGCAGTACGTTCTGCCGACGTGCTCCTGTCACCCATAGCCGGCAGACAGGTGGCCACTGCTTCCCTGATCTACAAAATGCACATGTCCACCTGCCCACCAGACCTGAAAAAGATGCTTCCCCAACCATACACAATCAGACGCACAACTCGCAACAGTCTCTCTGCTGGAAAACATGTCCTCACTGTGCTAGTCTCTGATCACTGACAACAACCTCCAGTCATTCAAAACAGGAGTACACCAGCATCTTCTTTCCACCATCAGGACTTCTACATGTAGCTAGAACCTTGCAGTTGCTATAAACCAATGATTAACCAGGACTGTTATTTTTATGTTACAACCCTGGCTATTGTTTAAGTTAGCACATTACAGAAAAAAATAGCTGAATACGGCCTCTTGAGCACTGCCAATAAATGCTTCTATCCAAGCCAAGGGTGAACAAACCATTAAAAAAAGTTGTGTGTTGAGATGGAAGTTGTCTGTTTCAGGGTGCATTTGGAGCGCTGCAGAAGGTATGTGAGGATTCAGCAGAACTGCTGGACTGTGACGCTCTGAACCGACCCCTCAACACCATGATCCCCAAGTTCCTACAGTACTTCAAACACACAAGCGCCAAAATCAGGTAAACACTCAAATTTAACATTAGTGGTTCGGAGCTATCTTTGGAAAGATTTGCATCAACATTCTGGCAAACATTGAGTTTGCGTAGTAGCTAAAAATAATGATAAAATTGAATTTGCAACTCCATTAGATTTAGAAAAAGGACTGAAAATCAAAATTTGCTGTGTTTGCTGAATTAAAACAAAACTTTTAGGTAAGATTACTAAGAAATACATATTTCCATAAAGTACTAAGAAATATATATTTCCATGGATGAAGCATAGGCTACTGAGTGTATTGATATCTGTCTTCTCTGGACTGTTTGAATGTACCGTCCCATGTTATCCCCAGGTCCCATGCAATAGCTTGTGTAAACCAGTTCATCATTAGCAGAACCCAGGCACTGATGGTTCACATTGACGTTTTTATTGAGGTAAGATAACCATTCATTACCTACAGTCTATTCCCCAAGGGATGGAAGTATTGTTTGCGGCTTGTTTGTATGTGTGTGTTTCCCTTTATACATCTCACTGGGCTCCCACCTTCAGATAAGGTTCACTCATCAGATTACACTGTAAGGGTCAGGGGTCAGTAGCAATCTCTTAGCAACAATCAATTTTAAAATCTATAGGAGTACTGGGAGCATAACTACACACAGGTCATGATTGTGGGCGATGGAAGAGTCAGCTCCATGGAACTCAGGAACTCAGCACAGCGCCAACTCATAAATGCAGCAAATGGCCAGCATGTGCCGGCTTGTCGTAAAAGTCGCTATGTACTGCTGCAAATCCACAGTACCAGCTTTGTATTCCTGTGGTTTAGCAGCAGTTTTTTTTGGCTTGAATTTTTTTCATTTGCCCGTTTAGGGATCTTCATCCATAAAATTAAGTCACTGTGGCCTAAATGTAAAAAACTATTTGAGATCTGAATCAAACAAGCTTGTCCTCCCTGTTCCATAGAACCTGTTTGCCCTAGCAAATGATGAGGACCCAGAGGTGAGGAAGAACGTGTGCCGAGCTCTGGTGATGTTACAGGAAGTGCGCATGGACAGGTTAATCCCCCACATGCACAACATCGTCGAGGTGAGTTCCAAATCCTTCTCTAGTTTGGGAATTTTTGAAATCTTACTCTCTGAAATGCTATTTCCTGTGTTTCAATGGCAAATTTTGCTGGTAGACTAAGCTTAGTTAAATGACATCTCTGTCTATCTCTTTACACACTGATTTTTGCCTGTCAAAGATAATGGATTAGGCCAAATTTGTGTTCAACATGAGTGGCAAAATCCACTGCCACAATGGCCTCAGAAAAAGGCTATGGGACTACCTTTACCTACTGGAATTTTAGATTTTTTCATGGTACATTGTACTTTTATGTTTGCAGTTTTTGCAGTCACTTCTATACCTCTAACTTATCATTACCGTTATCAAATAATTTGCCAACATATAGTTCCATGAACACCTCCATTTTTCTCAGACCATTATGTTTTGCTGCGTGAATATAAAGTGAAGTACAGTACCTTTAACACGGGAAAGATTGAACTTGACCTGTGATATTTTGTTTTCAGTACATGCTGCTGCGAACCCAGGACGGTGACGAGACGGTAGCTTTGGAAGCGTGTGAGTTCTGGCTCACGCTAGCGGAGCAGCCCATCTGCAAGGAGGTCCTCTCCGGGTATCTGGACAGGTAAACAGTCGCACCACCTGTCAGCACCTGCTGACGGGCTAGCAATGGAGCAGGGCTCGCATCCAAGCAGCTACGCATCTCATTATCAACCACTTCTGAAGGATGGGAGGAAGAACAGACTGAAACTGGCGGCAAATTATTTTCAGATTTTACAATGTCACAATGAAGACAGAAAAAATACATTGTGCGATGGTCCAAATACTTGTAAACCTGATTATTTGCTACAGACTCCAGGAAGAGTAGTGTGAAATTCACACTAATGGAGATCCTAAACAAACAAACAAACAAACATTGATTCTGTAGTATAGTATAGTAAATTTGAATTTTTCTTCTTGTTCTTTTGTATTACAACATTACGTATTTTGGCTTTAAAGAAATGTTGCAGATTTTTCTGATTTAATGTCCTGTCCTCTACCTTTTATTTGAGTACTGGGGGACCTTACACGTGTATGGCATTGTCTTTTTTAGATTTTTTTTTTTACTCGGAACAGGCAGACTTTTCAAAGAGCTCAACTAGCCGGAGAGGGTTGACTAGTTTTGCCGGGCAGTTTCAGAATGTTTCTTTCATCCTTCAAAGAATTGAAAAGTGCAGTTTCCTTTTACCTAGTTTTTGGATTCTCATCATATTCATACCAAGTTTGTAGCATATTGTACTTCTTTGTACATCTTCTGAGATTTCTTGATACTAGATTATACCGCAGCATTTGATTTTAAAGGTTTCACGGCGTACATTCTGGGTATTTGCTTATCAGGACATCTGCGGCACAATTTGTGTTGGATATATTATATTGTTGTTAACCTTTTTTATGGTCTTTTGGTACTTTTTTCACAGAGTTATTCCTGTTCTAGTCAATAATACACGGTATTCGGAAATTGACATCATTTTGCTGAAGGTAATATCTTGATTTCCATCCGTTCTTTACTTTAGAATAGCGTTATGTACAACCTTGTTTCCCCTCTCTTTCTCGGTTCATTCAGGTGATATCTTTGCAGCATCTTTTACATGTTTGTATTTTGTAACACTAAATGATACGCCTTAAAGGGGCATTATGTAACATTTTTGCACCAAAAGTGGAAGTATTTTGATTGAAAAAATCCTTGTATTATTGTATTTTACATCAACTTTTCAACATGTTAATGCAATCATCTTACACTGCTGACATTTATGGTTGGTGCTATGACAGCTCCACAAGACACACTCAGTTTGTGGTGCCACCACAAACTACCAGAGTGTAAACAAACATTGCTGAAAGTTCCAGCTTTTAAACACACTCTCAATCAGCATCATATTTTGGCACCTCCACTTTGAATTCCTGAATGACACTTATTTGCAATGGAGTAGGGTTGATCAACTTACTTGTTAAAGAAAAGACCAGTAAATAGACTTTTTGTATCATCCTAATGTTACATAATGCAGCTTTAAGCAAGAAAAGACCATGAGTTGGCATTTCCAGAAATTGCATTACTTTTAGCCTAATCTCTACTTCAGTCGAAGCCCCCTTTCTTCGATTTCAAATATTAAAAGATTTATTTTGAAATGTACATTTCAAACATTTCTTTACATGACAGTAAGTTATGGAGATTTTTCCTCACTTGCAGTTTGACAAATTTTTGTATCAGTTTTGTCAGTTTGTTGCTATTCCAAACTTAACATTTCAAAAATTCACCTTCCGGTACATAATTGAATTTTTCCCATTTCTCCTTTTGCAAATATAAAAGTTCATATACTTGTTAAATTGGTTATACATGTATAAGTATGCTCATTTCTCAATCTGGGAGCACATGTATGGTGGCAAATACTTGATATTTCAGTATCTAATGATTTATTAAATTTTTAAATATGAAATATGGAAAGATTGTATGCTGAATATAGTTAGGTGTTGAGCAGTCAGTTAAAATACGACCCACATTGTACATAGGCTATTGTGTTTTATTATGTGTACATGTAAAAATGTTACCAGTGCTTCAAAGTGTATAAGTGGTCTACTAGCTGCATGCATTCTTTACTTAACCTTAGACTGTAATTGTATTAAGGTTCTCCCAAGTGTTAAATTTTGACAGAGAAGGTCGAATTTGCTTGAGAGAAAAGGCGTTAATATTATGTGTGACATCAAAGGAAGCATTGTGATATGATATGTACGATAGAATTCTTACTAAAGATGAGGGAAAAAAGGTATGTAAGTATCCTAACATTAATATTTTTTTGTACTGGTATTTCAGCTTGTAGTCTTATAAAGATCATTCCATTTGGCTATGTGGGTCTAAATGTAGCAGTAATTCTTCCATAGGCTAGGAATATGAATGTTGACTTGTATAATCTCGGCCATGTGGGTGATGGCGTACGTTCCCGTCAATAATCGTGTTTCTTGAACGGTTGCCAGGGTGATGTTGAGGAGGACGAACAGATTCCTGACAGAGAGGAGGACATCCGCCCCCGCTTCCACAAAGCCAAGACTCACACCACGTCCGAGGAGCAGGTCTGTGCATAGGCAGATTTACATAGCCGATTGTGTTTTGTATTTACAGCAAGAAAAAGCTCTGTCACAGCACAAACCTCCACAAAGACAGTAGTTCAAAGTCAAAAGACATTTTTATTTACAAATCCAAATCATGTCAACATATCTATTACAATTTCAGTCCCACAAGGTCTATGTGCCATGTTAACTCTACATAAAGTATGTATGGGAAATGTTAAAGTTGTACCCGTACCTTTCAAAACATTTTGTGTTTTTTTTTTTGACAGGATGGACAGGAGAGCTCAGACCTAGATGATGATGATGCATTGTCTGACTGGAACCTAAGTAAGTACCATATACAAATGTATTCCCATAGACCAATATTATTACATAATCAGCCTGGACAGGAATCACATGTTTACTTTATTTTTTTTGTTTACTTTTGTAGAAGGAAAATATGTTGTCTTTGCTCTGCTTCTTCTTCCTTTTCCAAACACATAAGGTCAGTGACCTGGACCAGATGTCTGTCACCATGGTAACTGGTGTTGTAGCATACACCCTGTAGTGTTGGGTTACAATGTACATTATGTAGCAGGACAGAGTTGGAGGGGCTGTTCACCATATTCAAGTAGTCTCATTAGTTATCATCAATAATCAACATGATCGAAAATGATGTGGTCACCATGGGCAGGTATCGGGCCTCAAGCGGACTCAACTCAGGGCGGCCGCGGCCAGGTGGTCACCTTGGACAGGTTGCTTAATGTTTGTGTCAATGGGGAACATTTGGGGGACTGAGAAAAAGCGGTCACCATGGACAGGTGGCCAGCTTGAGGAGGTGGTCACCTTGGCAGGTTTGACTGTATTTGCTTTGCAAATGTGACCTTTCTAGTTTTTACACATATATATTGGTTGAATTGTGTGTTCTAGGAAAGTGTTCAGCGGCTGCGCTGGATGTGTTAGCTAACGTGTTCCGGGACGACCTGTTGCCAAACTTGTTACCCATCCTGAAGGAGACCCTGTTCCACCCTGACTGGGAGGCCAAGGAGTCCGGGATCCTGGTGCTGGGGGCCATCGCTGAAGGTCAGGAATAATATAATTAAAGGCATCCAATAATGCAATTTCAGGGTGGCAAGACAAGAAATATTCTGGATGAGGAAATTTTTCTGATTTTAATAAAATACTGCCATTTCTTAGCACATTTTTGTCATCATTTCATGAAATAGCCCCAAAAGTATCCATGCGAAGAGTCCAAAACCACCAAAACCATTTTTTGGTACCACTAATTTAAAAACAATAGCTAGAACCAGCCTATGATGAAAATGGAACCAGCCTATGATAAAAATCAAAACAACCATTTTCTGTTTGTGACATTGCATTTTTGCCTTACAGATTTTAGTGTGCTATGATATGGATTGATTCAACTTACTACTTTAAAAAAAAATGACCAGAAAATTGACTTCGAAAATTCAGTTTTACTGCACCAAAATCCATTGGGGTGTCTTGAATGAATAAATGAACGAATGAAGTAATCACAACATTTCACAAAGTGTCTCACATATAGACTAGTTGATTAATGTAAAGGTTTCCGTGTTGCAGGTTGCATGAACGGTATGGTCCAACACTTGCCTGACCTGGTGCCGTTCCTCATCAAGTCCCTGTCGGAGAAGAAGGCGCTGGTTCGCTCCATCACGTGCTGGACGCTGAGCCGCTACGCCCACTGGATCGTCCAGCAGCAACACGAGCTGTACCTGAAGCCACTCATGACTGAACTGTTGAAGAGAGTCCTGGATACCAACAAGAGAGTACAGGAGGCTGCATGCAGGTTAGTATATGGTAGAGTGTTCGGCTCAGACCCAAGAGGTCCCAGGTTCGAATCCTTGTGCCCTTGGGAAAGGCACCTCACCGATCTTGTGCCCTTGGGAAAGGCACTTTACACAACTTTCCTCACTTCACTCTCAATGAGTACTTAGTTTCAGCTAGGGACGTCCCTCGGATAGGACGTTAAATGGAGGTCCTATGTTTGGGGAGAGCCACACCCTACGCACTTAAAAGAACCCACCACACTTATCGAAAAGAGTAGGGGACCTTTCAGGTCTGACATCTTGAATGATAGTCACCTGTTATGTTAATCCTTCCACAAATGTGGTAAATCTTCAGAAATAAATAAATACAAAACTATCCTCCACCTAGGCCTTCCTAAGGTGTACAGTTGTGCCTTGGAGTACTAGAATTCATTAAAACTAGGGTCAATAATTGCCCAGGGAAGTGAGCCATGGTAAGGGCCAGTATTTTCCCTTAATTGCTTTCGAACGTAGTGACATTACACAGACTAACTGTGCTAGCAAATAAGCTCTATAGTGGCCAGACTCACAAATATTGACTCACTCTATATCCAGCATAGCTAGGTTGGTAGAGTCTAACACAAAATACAAGCCATAGCAAAGCTGTATTTGCATGTACACTTGGTCTAAAGCATGTCATTTGCAAGTCACAGTACTTGTGATCATGCCTTTATATCATGAAAACATTTTCCCTGGCATATTTTAAAC